GCCATCACACTCTTCTGCAAGGCAGGAGTGACTGTCCCTCACATCTGCTGAACAGGCCACAGAGTCCTGTCTGGATGAGCTGTGCTGGAAAGAAACAAGGAGGGTTTCCGTCATCTCTGCAGGAAGACCGACGACCTAAAAATGAAAGGTTTAGCATGGGAGGCAACTGGACTGGTTTCATTAGCTGCATCTACCTGAATTTTCCCAGTGGTGAGTTTTACTGTAAGTAGACACTCCAAAAGCAGCTGGAACTTAGGGAGTTAACCAGGAATTTACTTGAAGGAAAGAGTAATTTCAGCTGCAAAGCTGTAACACAGTGTAATAGTGAGGAACTGATACAATGTAATGTGGTGAACTGGCTGAGCTACTATTTCTGATCCACTGTCACATGGAAAGGTCCCATTGTGTCTCAATTACTGTGCAGTTCTGTGGGCTTTACTGCTCCTCTGCAGCCCACACGTCCTCTGGCTTCAGAGAATGTTTTCAATGTTTCATAAGCTTAAAATCACAAGCAAACTAGGAGAGCTTGCTTGTGCTTATTTATGCTGCTGATGGACTTTTCATAGTGATGAAAAATATACAGCTTCATTGCCATGCTGAAGAACATATCATCACACTATTGTTTAGAAAGGAATCCTTAGGAAAGATCATCAAGTTAACCCAGCACTGCCAAGCCCACCTCTAAACCATGTCTCTAAATGCCACATCTACACGGTCCTTTTAAATGCCACTGGGGATGGTGACTTCACCACTTCCCTGGACAGGCTTTTCCAAAGCTTGATTACCATGTCTTCACCACAGTGAAGAAAGTTTTCCAAATATCCAGTCTGAACCTTCCCCTGCACAAGTTGAGGCCATTTCCTTATCCTGTTGCTTGTTACCTAGAAGACGCCAACCTGCATCTGGCTCTTTTCAGGTCTCCCTTGGGCCTTGTTTTCTCCAGAGCTGAGGCTAGACAACCCCAGCTCCTTCAGCTGCTCCTTGTAAGACTTGTGGTCTTACTCAGGACTGAGGCAAACAAGGCCTTGTAAGTACCTTAGCCTTCACCTTCATTCTTTGTCACTGTGTTTCCTCCGGCATCCAATAAAGGATGGAGATTCTCCTTCGCCCTCCATTTGTTGCTAATATATTTAAGGATTTTTTTTATTGTGTGGCATTTGACAGGTTAAGTTCTATCTGGGCTTTGGCCCTTCTAATTTTCTCCCTCCATAAAACTTCATGACATTCTTGTCCTCCTGAGTTTCCTGCCCCTTCTTCCACAGGTCATGAACTCTTCTTTTTCCCAAGTTCCAGCCAACACTCTCTGTTCAGCTGCACATTTCAGGAACCTGCTCAACTGTTTCCTCTCTGCTGTATTTCTAGAAGGCATCTGGTAAGTTGAAGTCCCCCACAAGAAGAAGAACTAGAAATTGTGAAATTCTCAGCTGCTTATAGAGTCTTTCATCTGCCTCTTCACCCTGGATGGATGATCTCTAACAGATTCCCACCAGGTTATCTGACTTGTTGGCCTGCCCCCCTGATTTTCACCTATAAAGGCTCAACTCTTCCGTCACCATCATTAAGCTCTAGAAAATCAAAACACTCCTTAACATACATGGCTACCTCAGAAGGAAGTCAGGGTGTGAAGCAGAGACTGTCAGCCTTGGGTGGCCTCTTGCACATTAACAGGAGTAGAAAGAGCCATTGTTCTGGGAAGGGAACCCCAATCCATACATTCTGCACAGGCTATTTTTACTGCCAGGCATAACAGAAGAGGGAACTTACATGTGCCCTTACATGGTTTTGCACCTCAGCTCCCTCTGCAAATCCCCAGACATGGACTTGGTGACAGAAGATTTAACTAAGATTGCAGAGGCAGGGGAGTACAGGCAGAAGAGGGGGAGATCTCTTGGAAAGAGAAAAGTACTCTGAAGAGAAATCTGTCCCAGAGGCTGTAGTTGCACTAAGCTAAACAGCAGTGGGCTCGCTCTTTGGCTCAGAGACTGATTGATAAAATGTGGGGCCATACTGTGAAATTGAGCTAGTCTCCAAAGCAGGGCTGCCACACACATATTGCCTATTGGAAGCAGCTCCTGCTCATGCTACAGTCCTGAATCACACCAGCAAAGTATTGGGCCAGTTGGCCCAGATCAACCATCTAAGAATGTAATACTGAAGATTACTATTGGGAAGAGATGTCCTGCTGTGGTCACCTTTCCTGCAGGATCCTGCAGAACTTCCATGACAATTGCCTTATTGGTGGCTGAGGAGGAGACAGGCCAGAATGTGGGGCAGCTACTCAGTGCCCTTGAGACCCTGGATACTCTTGCAGCCATGAGGAAACACTAATCCAGTTCCAGTGTCCTCTGTGGGTCAATGTTGTGCACCTCCCAAGGCAGGCTGTGCTGTGGAAAGCAGGTCCTCCCAAAAAGGCCAGAAGTAATGGAAACATTTCACAGCCAAGGCTAGAACTGGTCACCATCACCAAGTCGCCAAATAGCTCTGGCCCAGCTCCACAGAAATCCCATCTGGTCTTTCCTCTGGGCTGATCCTGCACTGCCAGAGGCAGTCCCACAGCCGTGCTTGGCACTGCACTCCAAGTAATACAGCTCTTGGCTCCTGCCTGAGTCAGCAGCTGCCCCTGCCCAATGTAATGGGATTTGGGTTTGCTACTGCAAAATATTTTGCACGTATAAAGGCTTTAAATACATGCTAGACATACAGATTGTGGTCTGAACATTTTTGAGGAGTGGGCAGTTCTGTTTAAAGTGAATGCTACTGAAAACTCATCAGTAACAGCATCACAAGCAAGAAAATGTAGGATTAATAATGGGGTAAAAAAAGAAGTAAATCAGTGTATATTCCTGGTGCTTTGTCAATAGCAACTTTAGACAACTTCATTACAGAGCTGAATATGCAGGCCACAAGCCTCTTACTTACAGAGCAGTCAGCTTAACCAAAAATCCCTCTCTGCTATCAAATCTATTTGAAAGGAATAATTTAGGGAAGATGAGCTGAATTGTATTGACAAGCTGTGTCTGCTGTCTCTAAAGGAATCACTGAAGAGCACATCTTTCTTTTTCTGTGCAATTCCCCATCTTCCTTCTTTGTACCAATTCCATGATGTCCCTAACAGAATCAGTGGTTGTGAAGAGGCGAGAGCACAGCACTGTAGCTTCCCACACAAAGTTACAATTTGCCTTACGTTGCTAAAAATTTGGTCCAAGTCATGCCTCAACTGTAAATTACTTTTTTTGTTGTGATGAAAACTATATATTGTATGCAAATACTGACTCATGCACAGAAACCTTGAAGGCCTGTAATCTCCAAGGACCTGTACAAATTGTACAAATGGTGAAATTCAAAAGAACTATACTGGTGTGAAACAGAAGACCCAAACCTGATTGTTGGGGATTTGCGCAGCATCTCATTAAAAATAACACAAAGCACAAACCCAAAAAATGTGTAACATGTCCCCGTACATGGGCTGCAGTCATGCCTGTAAACAGATTTGTTTCTTCCATGAGCACACAGGGACGGTTTGCACAGGAAACAAGCAAGAGCTGCCAGGCAGATACTCTTGTTAAATGCAGCCACTCCAAATTTGGGAGCACATTCCATTTCCTGGCCTTGGGCGAGGCAGGGGTTTTCCAGAGCACTCCTCGGAGCTGCGTCAGAGAGCATTTGGTCTGGGCATGACATCTCAGATGCATGATGATTTTATTTAGAACACGCTTCAGCTCTGCAGGCTGCAGAGGCAAGGTGCCACGCTTCAGCAAGAAGGGGAAGGACTATAAATAGAGCAGGCTGGGCTGCCACAGGCAGCTTTTTCTGGTTTCGCCTGGAAGAAGCAGAAATCCAATCTGCTGAGGAAATAATGCACAGTACAGGCACAAACAGCAGCTCTTCTCTCCAACCAGTAACTGTCTTTCATTTCGTAGGTACACAGGTACAGCCACTTACATTTAAGGAACAAGGACACACCACCTTCCATCTCTGCTTTCCTCCAGCTCTCAGTTTTTTGCAAGCTCCTTACATGCAAACTGTCACGTTTTCATGAAACGATGCGTTCCCCTCTACTCACAAGGGGAACACATTCCTTCATTTACCAAACAAGGAATAAAATGAGTCTCAAAATTAAGTGCACAGAGGTAACACACATTTCATATTTTTGAGGCCCATGGAGCTTTAAGAATTGTTGTTTAATAGTTCTTGCTCTAAGCTGTATCCCACTAGGAGATCTCCCTGGAATTGTTTGAATAAAGGGACATTTTTGCTGCAATATAAGTACATACAAATAGCACCAAGAGCCCAGTCCTGTGCTCAGGAGACTTTTGTTTTCCCTTGCAGGTACCTACACTGAGAGCTTTTTCTTCCCTTACTCTGTGCTTGACTCGGTTACTATTAAAGAGAAAAAGTATTTCTACCTGTTTCCACAGCCTTTCACACCTTTCAGTGAGTATATTTTATTTACAGCACAAAGCTAATGGAAGCCATCTTTGGACAGTGCATTTTAGACTCAAAGCACTTCAATTCTTTGAATTCTGCACCCCCAAAGTTGCAGCCAAGAGTACAGAGTAATGGTTCCCCCTATTCCCTCCTGCTGGAATGCACCCTAAGAAGGACAACATTTAAAATAATTTCAGAATATGCTCTCAACATTACACCGTGCACAAAAGGAGATGGGATTACTCGGGTCCACACTTGAGGGGAAGACAGGTGAATTTTTTCTTCCACAAAATATTTAGCCCACATTGCCTGTGTTTTCATCTCTGCTGGCCCTCGCTAAATCTGAAATACAAGGAACCTAAGTTTGTAGAGGAGAGTATCAGTAACCTATTAAAACCAAGGACTTCCACAAACACACTTTGTTTATGGTCTACTGTAATGTTCCTCCTGCCCACCTCTGCTACACAAGCATGAAGGATTTCTCCATTCCAGAAAGTTTAGGGTTTAATAGCCTGTGAGGTTTTTCTATACATTACTTATTTAAATCTCGGATATTTGAATAATATAATTTGTTCACATTAAGAAAACACTACATATAATTTTATTTGTAGAATATCAAGTTGAAAACAGATATAAAAACAACAGAACATATAAACTTAATAGGAAACCCAACTAAAATAATAAAACAGTGCATTTTTCTCGATAGTTTGATTTCAGTATGATCTTCAAAAAAAACCTTACTCCTTTAACCTGAGTATTTTAGCCTTTGTTATTGTTTCTCTATTGTAATAAAGAATCCTAAGTCACTTTAACAAACATTCTAATTAATAAATCCAGAAACACAACAAGTTTCTGTAGTAGTTCCCACTGCATGAATACACATGGACAACACTATATATAATAAAGCCAAACCATTCAACAAGTGTGAAGAGATTTGCACTATGAATAAACTGAACACAAACTCAAGTGAACTCTGAAATTACAGAGCTGTGTTAACATAAAGGCACATTTTATTTTCAGTGTAAATTCACATTTCTAGAAAGTTAAATTTTGTGCCCAGGAAACTTCAAGTCATGACAGCACAATCAGCCAAACAACTCTGATTGCACGTATCTGAACTTTCAATAGAAAAATCTGGCTTCTATTTCTTTAATCCAGTTTTATTAAAGAAGAAATTAAATGAGAAATAGAAGGGCTCTCCCTGCCATATTTACAGACTGCAAACTATATTGCTTTCTCATCAGAAATTCTAGTTTTCTTGTCAAATTTTGTTAAGCTTTGTAACTATCAGCACCCTCACAGTTTGGTCAAAAGCCCCACAGACACAAAGTCCCTTCTTGTCAGGGCTCCAGTCCAGGCAGGAGATGGGCTGTGTTGACAGAGTCACATTCTGCAAGAGACTGAGAGACCCTGCCACCCCCATCTCAGATCCTTCCAAATCCTTCTTCGAGCGCTGGGCTGGGTACTCACTGCCAATGAGAAAATTAAACAAAAACACCTACTTAGAAATGTATTGATACAAACACATCACCATCCTCTTTATTCCCTGCTTTACAGGTAAGGCAAGTAAATGTCTTAAAAGTAATTAATAATCATATCCAGCTATATCTACGCTGCATGCTTTAGTAGACATTTCATGATACAAAAAAGGAGGTGGAAAATTTTGAATCCTGACACCCCTATCCTATAGCTCTTCATTTAACTGGTTGGTTGGGTTTCTGGCTTTTACCACAGCCAGAAAAATTTCATCACAACTATGCTTCTGAAACTTAATGCAACAACTTCACTGCCTTTAGAATTATTAAATTATTTTTCCATGTAATGTAAGAAAATGTAAACAATAAGAATGATGAAGTCAAGATTTTCAATATTCTTCTCAGATGTAACTGCTACCATATTAGAATTTTAAGAAAACCAATTTTTTCCATTTATCACCTGGTTAAAAAAGGATATAATTAGATCTTCTGAAGACAGCAAGGGCAAGATTCAGCTGTGCTATAACATTCTCTTATGGATTAATTCAAGATTCCAGATCAAGTACTGACAATGAAATCACTTTTTCTACTGCATTTGTAAACAATAATTTTAACCAGATATTCTGAGGATGGAAGCAGGACCCCACTGATCATTTTCAGAAAGATTCTTTCTTAAAACATTAAATGGTTGGTTTCTTACTCCTGGCTGGAGAAGTGATCACTTACTATTTCCAGAGATGAAGGCTCCCAGATCCTCCACTTGTCACAAATATATCTCTGTTCTGTGGCAGGTGCCGGACCTGCCAAATGGTAGATTTTTGTGCCTAATAGAAAGAAATCAGCATTGTACAGAAGTCATTTGGAGATTAACTTCATAGGAAAGGACACAGAATCTTAAAACAGAGATCACTTGTATGAAAAGAGTCCAGCCTTCCCACAGTGGATGGTTAATTTTACTGGATGATATCTCTTAAAATCATTACTGGAAGGGAATATATTACAAACACTGTGCAAACAAAACACACAGTCAACAACTCAAACCCCAGCCAGGGCACTAAGGTCATACAGCAACAGAAATCACTTAGGGAAAAACCTCAACACATCCTCTGGCTTAATGTATATCTGTCTAAAAATGTTCACAAGGAAAAGCTTAAATGCATTTAATGAACAACAAATGCTATTTTCACATTTTATTACAAAATTATTTGTAAATAAATAAATGTATTGTTTTATTCTGTAAAAAAATTCTTTGATTCAGAATCAAGCACCTCCAACACCTTATCTGCTTTGAATGATAGTATGGAAAATACTAAGAGATACTAAGTTGAAACTCAGCCTTTTCTAAAAAAGGAAGTCCTAAAGAACTTCACCACAAAAGTGCCTTTTCTTGAATTACCCCTGATTTTATTCACTAGACAAAAAAAAAAAAAACCAAAACAACAAAAAAAACCACCCAAAAAACACTCCCAAAAAACCCCCACACTCCCAAAAAACCCCACCAAAAAACAAAACAAAACAAATTATTAAGTAACCTGGGCATTTCTTACCTATTTGTACTACACCTGTAATAACTGACAACATGAATTTAAAAAGTTTGTCTCTTATTAAGAAATTCTCAGTCTCCCCATACCTTCTCTGAAACAGAAGCAAAACCTTTGGTTGGATGCTGAGTTCTCATATCAAAGACATGGAATTTTCCCTCAAGCGACGTGGCCACCAGCTTATTCATATTTATATCTTTTCTGTCAAACTCCACACTGCAAACCTGGATATAGAACAAGATAAATTCAGTCTTGTAATTTAGTCACTGTTAAAAAAAACACGGTGTTTTGTCATTTGTAAATATGTATTAATAATTGGTTATTTCCACAATAATATCATCATCAAAAAGGAAATAAACATGTTCATCTGAAAACATTAATCCACTGAGAAATACCCCATCCTGTCCCGATCAAGAATGTGAGGAGTACTGGCAAAACCTAAAGAAAATTATTCCTTGATACAATCTCAGCAGAAACATCTTCTGGGTAAGTTTCACACAGACAAGAGTCCTTTTAATTTTTCCATCCTACACAGGAGCTGGAATTAAAAATACTTCTATGATTTCCTTACCCCATTCTTAATGTTGGTCTCCCATCGCAGTGACATGGTTTTTAAGTCAAACAATTTAATGTCCCCGTTGTCATATCCAGCACATACAACACGTTCCTCTTGATTGTAAGCATTGCCTGGACACAGAGAGAGAATTAACCAGAAAACACAAAACCTCTTTAGCTTGTAAATTTCACAAGTCCCAGGCCTGCAGTTTCAACTTCCATTTATACAACAACAACAAAAAGTTTTTGGGATACTAAGATGTGGTGAAGCAGATGGTTTTCAAACCTGAAGGGTCTAGAAAAATCTTTTGTAGGATGCTTGCTCTCTCCAAAGAAAAATGCAGAGCTCACATCAAGCATTGCTGTTTCTTTAATTAGCTCTTAAGCTTCAAGGGATTTCTCTTAAATTAACTCCTTGATGCTTGGTAGCTGCAACTACACTACAACAGTGATGAGTTCCCTGTACGTGGCAACATTTACATTCCTTTCAGACCACACAGCTAGAATACATTTCTAGACACAAATAGAGCTTGCACAGCTCATATGTAAAACCACAGAATCATCAAATCATTTAGGCTGGAAAAGACCTTCAAGACGATCAAGTCCAACTACAGACAGTGACCAAAAGTGATTAGAGAATGACTCCAAAACCTAATTATCATAAACCCACAACACTGGTTTATTTTAAAGAAAAAACCCCCACACATAAATTTAACAGTGTGGAAAAGCAAAACCTGCTACTCATGCATCCATACAAAATAAAGCATTCCATAACATCCTGAAATACATTGACAATCATCAAAACACAGTCACGTGAGAGGGAGGAATGGTCATAATCTGATCAATTACCAAATGCCACAGTCCAGCAGTCTCTTTTGCTCTCCCCCTCCACAGGTTCCATATTTGCCACAGGAGTGTCATTCTGCCTTGGGTCCCACACCTTCACAGATCCTGGGAAAGAAAGACAATAGATTTTGTATTAGGAATACATTGTCACACTGTGTTCACCTTCCCAGGAAAGCCCTTCACTTTTTATCCTAATCATTCAAAAGACAGGAGCAATTCTTTAAACTCTAGCAAGCCTCACTGAGTTTTGTGGATATAAGAAAGAGCCACAAAACCAAACAGAAACAGAGTGAAAGCATTTGTTAAGGGTGTATTTTCTCTAGCTGATATTTTGCATTTATCATGGTTTATGTTCCTTCTGTCTCATGCCCAGTGCCAACAGTACCTTTTGCTTATCTGTGGCTTCTAGAAGAATTAGAGAAAATCGGTCCCAAGCAAGATTCAAAAGACAGTGTACAAAGAACTAGTTGCAACAGCTTGTAACTAGTTCAGATGGCAGACTGTGCCCTGCCATCAAGAGCTTGCGGGCTCAGAGGAACTGGGAAGACTTGCAGAGTTCACTAACTCACCATCTCGACTGCCAGTCACAATTTCTGGTGCACCTTCCCCAATTCCTAAGCCACCTACACCATCTATACTGTTTATGATTTCCTTATGACCTTTCACAGAATACACTGGTATTTCAGGAGCTTCTAAATTCCTAGGCAAGAGAGAAAAAGAACAGAAAACATGGCATTTTTCCTTGACACTCAGGATTTGTATAAAAATGAAAGGAAACTTGAGCACAAATCATAAAAGCTCAGATTAACAGTGAGAACAAATATGGATATCACCATTAAGAACCATGAGTCTTTGATTCCTTCTTTGGCTACTGCTTTGGACTGCTCCAAAAGATCTGGCTCTGTTCTGACCTCCCTGTTTGTAAAGGGAGTTGTGAGATTCACCACAGCAACCAACCACCTCAGACCCAGTTTTATATGCTGGGCTCAAAAACGAATCACACTACAGATCAAGATACTCCAAGTATCTTTACTTTCAGTAGGTCTGTAAAATAACTTGATTCATTGATCCCCACCTAGCTCTGAGTACTGCTCTGTAACTTCAGGTGACTATTGTATCCAGCCATGAGTTTCATGGTTCTTTCCCACTGATTCCCATTCTTTAAGAAGCCTTCAGAATTTTATTTTACATTTCAACTAGTAACTGTCCATGTAATTCTTGCTATTCCAACAGGAACCAGTAGTTCCTTGATATAGGGCAATATAATAATGATAATAAAAATCCCCTTTTGACACTGCTATTTTGATCATAAATGTACCTAGACATTAATTACACCAATAATAAAGGGACCCAGAGGAAACATTTGAAATGTCAAGATCAAAAATATATATTTAATCTAGACATGAATTTAGGTTCACCGCAACATCTTGTTTGTACTCATGCATCCATTCAAAAGCCTCTTTTCAGAGGACAACCTTATAGAACTTTAACAGGTTTTTGTAGCTGCACACAGAAGATGGGAGTGAAGCAGCACTGAATTAAACACAGAGCAGAATTGTTTCTACAAATCAGGAATGGTCCAAATACAGTAGCCAGCAAAGCTTGCACTGGGTCCCAACCACAGGCAGCATGGAGAGCATCTCAAGCAAAATCCACGAACAGAAACCTCTGTTCAGACAGACATGGACAGCATCAAGTGAAAACGCTTCCAGAGAATATCTGTGCTTACCATATGTGAAGGTTTCCATCGAAATCTCCTGTAGCTAAGTATCTTTGCTGCAGAGATGTAGCACCAAAAGTTCCACATTTTATAGGTTTGGGCTTTTTGATCTTGTAAAGAAAGGAAATGTCTGTGTCAGCACACGGAGAAGGGAAAAACACCCACAGGCCACACAGTTCTCAGGAGTGCACGGGGGCAAGGGGCAGCGAAACACACATGGGATATTTGGTGCAAAATACTACCAAAATGTTATCAAAGGCAAGCTGCACTTTGAGTTTCATCCTTGTGCACAGAAAAGCAGGGTCCGGGTTACTGGTCTGGAAGAAAACACTTTGCTGGTGGCCTGGGGGGCCTTATGCACCTGAGCAACTGCTCACCTCAGGAGTGAGAACACTCAAAGGGCAATCTGAGAGAAAAAACCAACCAAACAAAAAAGGAAACAACCCACCAACCAGCCAAAAAAAAAAAAAAGCCCAAAACCCAATCAAAAACCCAACCAACGAACCTAAAACCCAAACAACAAAACCAAAAAAACCTAAACAAACAAACGAAAAAAACACCCCCAAAAAAGCCAAACACAGGCAGAAACCAGAAACCCATAAACAACCTACAAAACACAGCAGTAAACAAAATCACAGGATCACAGCCTCAGTTAAGCTGAAGACCTCTGAGATGGTCGGGTCCAACCTACGACCGGCCACTACCTTGTCACCTGAACCACGGCACTGAGTGCCAAATCCAGTCTTCCCTTAAACATCTCCAGGGACGGTGACTCCAACACCTCCCTGGGCAGCCCATTTCAGTGTCTAACCACCCTTCCCGTGAGGAAATTCTTCCTAATAGCAACCTCAGCAGCTTAAGCTGCCAGTAGTTGCCTGGGAAAAGAGGCAGACTCCCACCCGGCTACAGCCATTCAGGGGGCTGTGGCGGGCGGCAAGGTTACCAAGAAACAACAGGGCATCGGCACATTTAACAGGCGAATCAGCTGCTGTTTTACATCCCGAGCGCCCCGCAGCCGCTCCCGAGGGGGCTGGCTCACCCACCTCCCGCAGCAGCTCCAGGCGCGCTCCGTGCAGCTCGTACAGCTGGATGACGCCGGTGCCGCGGGCGGCGCTGCCCAGGCACAGCAGGCGGGCGCTGCGGGGCACCCACTTGCAGTCGAACACGGTGTAGCTCAGCGCCTGCTGGACGTGCGACACCACCTGCGGCCGCTCCGGCCCCAGCACCGCCAACATCCCGCCCCGCTCCGGCCCTCGTCCCGGCGGCTCGGCGGAAGCGCCGCCGCCCCTTCCGGCCCCAGCCGCACCACGCGTGCTCCGCGGCCAACATGGAGAGCGAGGCGGCGGCCGGCGGCTTCACCAGCGTGCTGTCCCGGCGGAGCCGCAGGAAGCGGCGGGCGGGCGGCCAGGAGGCGGCGGCGGGAGCTGCCATGGACACGGCGGAGGCGCGGCCCAGCAAGCGGCCGGCGTTCCCGCCCGTGGCCGCCGAGGCGCTCGGGGTACGCGGGGCGCCGGGGGAACGCAGGGCGCTGGGGCTCCGGCGTGCCCCGGCTCACGGCCTGCTGTGTCTCGCCCCCTTCGGCAGGTTGGGAAGGGCGAGCTGAGGAAGATCCCTGTGCCGGCCAACAGGTACACGCCGCTTAAGGAGAACTGGATGAAGATATTCACGCCCATCGTGGAGCATCTGCAGCTTCAGATCAGGTTCAACTTGAAGACGAGAAATGTTGAGATCAAGGTAAGGGGAGCAGCTTCCTGGGCCTTGCCCGGCAAGAGAAGGTTGTGTGCAGACCTCGCAGCACCTCCCAGTGCCTGAAGGGGCCTCCACGGCTCTTTGTCAGGAACTGTAGTGTCAGGACAAGGAGTTAGGTTTACAAATTGAAAGAAGGGAAGTTTAGTTTGGATGTTGAGAAGAATTTTTTTACTGTGAGAGTGGTGAGACACTGGAACAGGTTTCCCAGGTGTGCCCCGACCCTGGCAGTGCTCAAGCAGCCTGGCTTAGTGACAGGAGTCCCTGCCCGTGGTACAGGGATTGGGACTAGATGATTTTATGGTCCACTCCAACCCCTTACCGTTCTGTGATTCTGCCTCCTGAAAAAAACAGGGCCTCTCCTCATGGGTGTTCTTGGTCCACAGATTAAAGACTAGCGAAGTTGTAAGTCCCATATAATGCTTGGAAAAATGGAAACTGTGTGGTGTCACCTCCCCGGGGATCACATCTGGCAATTATTGCTTAGAACTAATAGTTACTGCAAGTAAAATCCAAAACTGGAGCTGTGTTCCAGAAGGAGCCAGCAGAAACTGGGGAGTGTTCTGTAGCAGAAAGTTAAGTACTATAGAAAGTTGTGTACATTAAGGAAGAATTTTCATCCATGTCTTAGATACAATTTTGTAATTCAGTGTTTTCCAGCTATTTAAGGTTACCCAATACTGACCTGGCAGTAAACAGGATCTTATAAAGGGGCACTGAACGCCTTTGTTTGTGGCAGACAGTAAGGGCCCATAGTTTAATAGCATGTGATTTTTCTTTACTGGATTGCAGTGGAATACCTTAGGGCACAGACCCCAGTATAAACCCATAATTCTTGTAGATGCTCATTCTTTATCCTTATTCCTCCTTGAGGAATGTTCACACTGGGAGTTTTTAAGGGCATGTCTAAACATTTGACATACGACTCACTGTATTAGCAACACTGACACATGAGATCTTCCAGTGTAATAGTGAAAATACAACAGGAATTTTGCTTCCTAACCATGAAATGTTGTCACAAATTTGATGGCAGGAATTGGAGGAAAGGTGACAGAATTATCCCTTATTTACTTTACTTCCTAGAAACAATCTCAGGTGAAAGGTTGGGAGGAGCAGGAACTCCTGCAGTTTCACTTAATAACTGCAGGAGAAAACCCTGGGATTTTAATAGCACCTTTTGATATGAAATGATGTCTGGTGAAAAGCAAGTTAGTTTTGTTCTTAATCAAGCTGATTTCATTTTGGCCATATCCATCATGAATATAAAACTTTAAAATTAATTTCATTCATCTGATAAGGCATATTAAGATTTTCAGCAGCTTTTCTCTTCTGCCCCCTCCAAGCACAGGCTGATCTTTTAAGTTCTGCTCCTAACTTGCTCGGTCTTAATTTGCAAACATAACTTCTTGTCTTGCAGACTTGTCAAGAGACAAAGGATCTCAGTGCTCTGACGAAAGCAGCTGATTTTGTGAAAGCCTTTATACTTGGATTTCAAGTAGAGGTGAGTCTCCCAACAGCCAGATTGTAAGATTGCTCCAGTTTACTGATCTGTGCCTGGCCTCTCTGCAAATTACAGTAAGAAATAAAGAGAGAAAAAACCTTAGGTGGTTTTCTAGAAATCAGTGTTTTCTAGAAATTGTGACTGGAGTAGACATCCAGTATAATGCTGGATAAAAAAGTGGCCTTCAAACAGCACATAAACAGAGAACATGGGTTGTGTGAGACAAGCATAAAGCAATAATCTCTGAGGTCCTCTGCACTGGTAGAGACTGCTCATTTTTCTTAAGCCCAAGCGAATAACTTCCAGTCTGTGCAAAACTCACAGAATCACAGAATTAACTGGGTCAGACCAGACCTTTTGAGATCATCAAATCCAACCTATGACTTTATCAACTTAACCATGGCACTGAGTGCCACACCCAGTCATTTTTTAAACAGCTCCCTGGGAAGCCCATTCCAGTGCCCAGTCACTCCTTCTGTGAAGAACTTCTTCCTAATATCCAGCCTAGACTTCCCCTTAATCTTAAGACTGTTCTCTTGTCGTGTTGCTGGTTGCCTGGGAGGCGAGACCAACCCCCACCTGACTACACCTTCCTTTCAGGCAGCTGTAGAGAATGATGAGGTCTACATGAGCCTCCTTTTCTCCAGGCTGAGCCCCTCCAGCTCCCTCAACCACTTCTCACAGGACTTCTGTTCCAGACCCTTCATCAGCTTTGCTGTCCTTCTCTGGGCACATTGGAGCATATAAAAGTCCTTCTTAAATTGGGGTGCCCAAAACAGTACTGGACATAGTACTCAAGGTGTGGCCTGAGCAGTGCCCAGTACAGGAGAAGAATGCCTTCCCTGGTGCTGCTGGCCACGCTGTTCCTGATGCAGGCCAGGATGCCATTGGCTGTCTTGGCCGTGTGGGTACAGTGCTGGCTTGTGTTCAGCCAGCTGAATCCCCAGGTCCCTTTCTGCGTGGTTGCTGTCCAGCCATTCTGTCCCCAGCCTGTAGCTCTGGAGGGGATTTTGTGGCCTAAGTGCAGGACCCGGCACATGGACTTATTAAACCTTGTGTTAATGGATTTAGCCCATCTATCCAGCCTGTCCAGGTCCCTCTGCAGAGCCTTTCTAGCCTCCAGCAGATCACCACTTGCAGTTTGGTGTCATCTGCAAATTTGCTAAAGGTGGACTCAATCCCCTCATCCAGATTATCAGTAGACACTAAATAGGACTGGGCCTGTAGAGAAAACAAACCTACTTCTTTCAGTGTGGCAAGGGCTGCTCCTTGCTCTAGGCCTCTACTGGATTCACTAGCACTGGGGAGGCAGGGCTGAATGCACAGGCATCCAAACCTGTGTAGGGTTCTCCAGATGGAAATATTTGCATTGCTGTTGAAAAAAATTGGATTTAACTTTGTTATTTGCTAGGTTGTGTGTATAAAGAGAACAGCAGCTTTCAGCTGTGTTACTGGAACAAAATAATTGCTGATAACACATCTCCTGCTCTTTCAGGATGCCCTTGCTCTCATCAGATTAGATGATCTTTTTCTAGAGACATTTGAAGTTACAGACGGTGAGTATTTTCTGATGCAGCTTTCAAGAAGTCATGTGTGCATCCTGCTACTGTGGATTTTTCTTTTCCCTGCTCCACTTACCACTTGCCTTCACAGATCAGGAAAGTCAGGAACATCTAAGTTTATGTAGTACTGGGACTCCTTGGAGTCCCCTGTAGAGCAGCATCTAAACCTGATCTACTTCATTCTTAATTTGGTGCACTTGGACTCCATTTCCTCAATGCAAGCGCAGTGCCTTCCTCTGTGCTTCTAAAGGAGACTTTTGCGTGCTGTAAACTGCAGCCTATGTCAGCACTGCCTGCAGTGTGCACTACTAGTCAAAAAAGCTGAAATCCAGATGGATCTGTGTTGACCAGTGAAGTTGCTTTTGTAGTACTTGGCATGAGTTGTTTCCAGCAACTTGACCAAGGGAAGCATTAACAGAAATACACACCACTGCTGTTTTCCTGAGCATGCTATTCTCATTTCAGTCAAACCTTTGAAAGGAGATCATCTGTCAAGAGCAATAGGGAGAATAGCAGGGAAAGGTGGAAAAACCAAATTCACCATAGAAAATGTGACCAGGACACGCATCGTTCTTGCTGACACGTAAGTACAGACTGACTTCCTCCTAGGCAAAGCACAACCCCTCAGCTAAATCCATGCCCTGTGCCAGAAACAAAGAGAACTTAAATTTTATGAAACTGTTGTAGAGTAGTAGTAAGAAAAAATATTTAAGAGAATATTTTAATGAATACAAGTGTCACCAGTGCATCTAGAATTCAGTCAGTCCCCAAAGCACAAGAATTCCTTGTTACGAATAATCAAAGTGGAACTCACCAACACAGCAATGTTTTCTTCCTGAAGCTGCTACACTGTTAAATTTGCAAATGGTAAAATCTATTTTAAAAGCATTTAGAAGAGCACAAGTCTTATGTTGTAGATTTTGTGGGTTTTGGCTGGGTTTTTTTTTTGCTAGCAAGTGTAGAAAAGAAACTATTACACTGGTACAAAATTCTACATTTACCTCTAACCTCCAATTCTCTATTAACTGTGCAATCTCTTAAGTTACTTTCTGTTAACTACTGCTACTTTTCTTTTTACAGAAAAATTCATATTTTGGGATCTTTTCAGAATATTAAAATGGCACGAACAGCAATTTGCAATCTAATTTTAGGTAAGTCCTCTTATCTAATCTTTACTACATATGAATCTTGCAGTTTGAGAAACTGCTTTGAGGCACTCACCCTCTTCCCTGTCCTGTCCACACCTCCATTTGGAGCAAATAGCTTGCTGGCAGTTGGCTTATGGCTCTTAAGAGAAAAATCTGGGGGAGAAGCAGGGACTCCAGGACTTGCTTTCTGGCTCCAAAATCCTCACCACATTGCAGAGAGATGTTCTGCATTTCGATTTAGCTGCAGCATTCCCTAAGGGGTCTGAAAGGCCAAAGGGAGCAACCCACTTTGTAAGCAGAAGTTGAGC